ACACACACACACACACACACACACACACACACACACACACACAGAGAGAGAGAGAGAGAGAGAGAGAGAGAGAGAGAGAGAGAGAGAGAGATTTTTAAATCTTGATTCCACAGATAAACACAAGTCTGGTTTATCTCTTGTAACATGAGGAGATCCAGAACCTCCTATTTCTTACATAGATCCTGATTTTAAGCTTTAAGGCTGACTAATATTCCACTGCGCATGTGCCGGCTTTCTTTATCCATCCATGACCCTGGGTGGTGGCCCCCTCGGCTGCTGAGGGTCTGGATTCCTGGGCAAGGCTCTGTCTGCTGCTGATTCTCTTCATTGTCTTTCAGGGCGGCTCCTTGGGCAAAGGCACCAATCTCAATGGCAGGTCGGATGCTGAGCTGGTCGTCTTTGTTAACAATCTCAGCAGTTTTGAGGATCACTTAAAGAGATGGGGAGAATTCATCCAGGAAATTAAGAAACAGTTGCGCAAGTTACAGCGTGAAAATATAATTCAACTGGAGTTTATCATTAAGAGTGAACAATGGCCCAACTCCCTGGCACACAACTTCAGGCTGAGGTCCCCTGACCTGGATCAGGAGATGGAGTGTGATGTTCTGCTCGCCTGTGATGTGCTGGGTAAGCCAGTCAGAGCCTCAGCTCACCCTTCCATGTGCCTAGATCTTCTGCCTTCTTTGTCTGTCTGTCTGTCTGTCTGTCTCTACCATGGTGTGTGTGTTGTGCGTGTGTGGTGTGTGTGTGTGTGTGTGTGTGTGTGTGTGTGTGTGTGTGTGTGTGTGTGTTACATATGGCATAAATTGTGCCTGGGTGATTGTGAACTATAACTAACACACCTCAGCAGACATCCATCATTTTTGAGACCTGGTTTCTCTCTGGCCTAGAATTCCACAATTAATCCTGGCTGACTGGGCAGAGCCCCGGAACCCTCTAGTCTCCCCTCCCCAGTGCTGGGATTACAATCCTAGGTCACCACTCCCAGCTTCTCCCTGAGTCCTGGGCTTCCAACATGGGTCCTCAGGATTCTGTGATAAGCATGTTACTGACTAACCATCTCCTCAGCCCACACCTTCTATTCCTGAACCAAAAACCCTTATCAATTGAGAAATTCACCCAAACAGAGCATCTCTTTAGAGCTGAGCTGGTAAGGAGAAGCTATACAATTTAGGAGTAGCAGTGAGAACCCATCAGAGAAGGACATTAAGTAGCAAGATGGCTCAGTGAGGCAATGAAGGCCCCTTCCCTGGCCCCTCAGCTGACCAGTGATATTCGAGGCTGGATGTGGATTTTGTCTTTCTAAACATGTAGCAACATAATTTTCCCTAAACATTAATATATGATGCATCATTCCCAAAAGTGGAAACCTCAGACCTGGGCAGAGGCCTGGGTGTCTGTGGGGGAATTTGTGCAGGATGCAGAACTTCAGAGGATTGCTCTCTGCCTCAGGAAAACTGGAAACCCAGCCATGGCCACCTCAGCCCCTACCCACATGTACACACCTTGATACCATTAAACATTAAATGATCCTCTATGTAAAGATCTTACACCAGGCCTGACACACAGTGTGTCTCCAAAATTACAAATTGCCCAACTCTACCCAAAGACACTAATTAACACCCCTGAGAGCACAGTGGGGCCTTGGGGAGCTTAGAGAACAGTTGAGGCTTTACATCTGGGGGACACAGCACCCCCTGCTGGCCACTGTGAGAACTGCTGCTATTAACTTAGAGACAAGGCCACTGCCCTTGGCTTAGGAGAGCCATGGACACAGTGCAGAGTCTCAGGCAGCAGGGAATGAGAGGCCAGCCTGGGAGCAGGAGCAGGGCAGCATGCTGTGGGGAGCTGCAGGGGCTTAGAACCCTGTGAGTGGAGGGGCCAGAGGGGGTGACCCAGAAATGAGCTGGGAGGGCAGCTCCCCAGAAGCCTGTCTTGGTCATGGACCTCCCCAGCTTGAGTCAGCTCTCATGGGGAAGCAGTGTCACCACAGAAGGATCCCCTTGGAAATGGCAGTGTGGGTGAGAGTACAAGAGAGCACCAGAGCCACAACTCTGCCCATGATGATTTGGCCAATGAGCCTGATTGTGTGCTGAGTCCCCAAAGTGAAAATAAACCCATGTGTGAGAGACCCTCCTGGTTCACCGATTGACTGGGTGTGTCCCCAACTCCATCAGTAGGTGATTTTGCCCTGTGTCAGCATCAAAGCCTGATGGTATGGCCTGCTGCAGCCATGGCCACACCTGTGTATACCTAAGACACAGCCTGCTGCCTGTTTATTCCACTCAAATGTGCACACACACCCACACACAGTCACACATCTGTGACTAATCCCTAGCTGCTGCTCATCCACTCTATAAGTGCAGGACTCACACCACACACACACACACACACACACACACACACACACACACACACAC